TCGGAGTGTGCTGACAGCTGTGGAAAACAATTTTATTTGCTTTTGGAAGAGCACTTGAATAGTTCGGATTCCTGCCCAGCGTCGGCGACCTCTGTGTGTCATAACTGGCTTTAGCAGAAATTTATGCAGCGGTGAGGCGCGAAGCAAGGGCCTGGGGTAGGGGCGGGAGAGGAGGGACGTAGGTCATGCGAGGAAGCTCTCTGGGACCTGGAGTTCTGTGTCCTGACCATTCCAGGTGTAAGTACGTTATTACCTACGTGGCAGGTGGAGGTGACAGGGAGGCTTGTGGGGCACAGAGGGAGTAGACCGCAGAGCACGACCATGCCCTGTGGCTACTTCGGCTATGGGGAGCGGGGCGTATAGGGATGGTGACACCTGCATCACAGATCTACTTGGGGGCCACTTGCCCTCAGTTTCACTGGTAAAGAGCATGGCTCTGGGCTTCAGTGGCTCCAGGTGCGGACCCTGCGTCTGCGTCTTCCTGGCCATGTGACCTGGGCCAGTCTTTATCCATCGTCTCCGAGCCTCGTTTCATTTCTCATGAAGAGAGAAAAAGCAATCCCCATTAAACATGGGCTTGGTCTGTATTAGACGAAATACCACATGTGAAGGCCACCAGCACTGTCCGGGAGCTCAGAACGGGGGACATCTGCTTTGATTAGTTATCAGGAAGGTCAGGTTTCCGGCGGGCCCTAGACTGTCCCAAGGCCGTGCTAGGCACCTTACACTCGCCGGCACGCTGAATCCTCACCGCGATGCTCCAAGGCGAACGCTGTTATCAGCTCGGTAAACAGCGATGTTAATGAGGACAATAAAAGCTGTGGGCGTTGATCGAGCGCTGCTTATTTTCTCCGATTGTGCCACGTCTGTGGTTGTCTTCACTTTACATCTGGGGAAACTGAGGCTGGCGAAGGCAAAGCCCCTCAGCCAGTAGGTGACAGAGCCAGGATTTGAACCCGGGGAGCTTGGACTTCCACCACGACGCCTTATTCTCTCGACTGAGGAGGGCTCGTGCTCGTGCTCGGCCCTCGAGACAGAAGGGAGCGACACGCACGCCCCCCGCCCGGGCACCCTGCCCCTTCGTCACCGGTTTCCACACAGCCCTGGGAAGCCGCTAGAATCCTTAGCCCCTTTTTCCTTTCTTCCTCCTTCCTGTTTCTTCTTCCCATTTTTTTTTCTTCTTTTTAGTGAGATGTATATAACTTACAGACAGCAAACTGCACAAATCTCAAAGATGAGACTTGAGCGCTTGCCTGTATTTAGATGCATGTCAGCATCACCCCATCAAGACGACACATCTCCACCAGCCCGCCCTGTTCTGCCTTCTATCGCCATAGGCTGATTTCACCCATCTTTAAACATCACAGGAAGCTTTCCCAGTTGAGGGAACCGAGGCTCAGAGAGGTGAAGCAGCTTGTCCCAGGTCCCCCAGCTGCTTCCTGGCAGAGCCAGGAGGTGAGCTCACATCTGTCTGCCACTGCCCCCGTGAGTCTTCTCACCCTCGCTAGTGACAGGCAGAGTCAGGCCCACGAGAGTCCCCAAACAGCAGTGAATCCTTAAAAAGCATTTATTTTAGCAACACGCGGGCTTATTTCTGGCCGTCCATTCACCTTTCAAAGTCCGCTCGGCCCCAGGCAGTAAGGTTAGCTCGCTTTGGCAGGCTGTAGCTGGGGGTGGCAGGAAGCCAGCAGCCTTGGAACATTTGCTTTGGACACAGAAGGTGGCCGTGTTGACCTCATCGGGTGGGTGGCACCCGCAACTGAACCGTGTTTATCCCATAGCCCGGGGCCCTTCGGAAGGGCTCCTGGGAGCAGCCAGCTCTAGCTTTACATAACCAGACTGGCCCCTGGCTCTGCAGGTCAGTGCTTTTCCTTCCTTCCCAGCACCTCAGCCCCTTTGTCTGGTCCCCTCCGAGGAGCTCGGGTCCCCGCGAGCTGGGAGAGGCCTCCTGGGGCCTTGAGGGTGAGCTCACCTTGGCGCCACACCTAAGGCTCACCTCGCTCTGCGCGCTGAGGTCACCTCCAGGGGATTGCCAGGGATGACATCATCCCACAATCCCTCAGTGATAGGCAGAGGCCCCGCCTCCCAGGTGGGAGAGGTGAGTAGCTTCAAGGAAGAGTCTCACCGGGCTGGGAAGGGGAGCCGGGAGCTCTCCCTCAGTGACCATTCTGTTAATCACCCAGCATCTCATTACTCAGCTGCCCTCCAGAGTTGCGATTTAAGGCCGGGTGCCGAAGACTAAGGAGGAGTCCTTGGCTGTGGAGAAGTCAGTCCTCCTCCAGCGTAACCTCCCGTGATCCTGTTTGCTCCTCTCCCGCTGGCTCATTCGTTCTTCCTGTTCCTTGATGTGGGCCAGCTCTATGAGCCTGCCAAGCACAGGCCCTCGTCCCCGCTCCCCACACCCTGTGGCCTCAGAGGGCCAGGATCCCCCTCATTCTCTCCCTCGACTCTGGGTGCTGAGGACAGGAGGAAGGGAGGCAAAGTGGGCCCCGGGGCTCGGGCTGGGATTGCAGCTTAGCCATTTCCTGCGGTGTGACCTTGGGGGTGGGGCTCACCCTCTCTGAGCCTCAGTTTCCTGCTCGTATAATGGAGATCAGGATATTCCGCAGGGGCAGATGGGATGACGTGGGTGCACGTGGGCCAGATCGGGCCTTTCCTGGCTTAATGGGCTGGAGGCCTGGCAACCCGAAGGCTGAGCCAGGCCTGTCCCTTGCTCGTGTCCAGGATCACCCTCGTGACCTCCGCAGGGAGACAAGCCCTGGCTGTGTTTTTGAGCCCACCATTTCCGGTTAAATGAGCACTCGCTGTGTCACACTTTGTGTCAGGGGCGCAAAGACAGGATCTTAATAAGAACAAAATGCCCTCGCCCCGGCCTGGCTCATTCTTGCCCCAAGACGTGGCCATTGGCGGGGCTCTCACAGCGTCTGGCCGTTTTGAGTCTCAACTCTTTGTTTTTCCGCCCGTACTGCCCCCTGGGCCGGCCTTCAGGCTGGGCTCCCTCTCCCCATGGGCTTCGGACATGGCCACCTGATGTCCACTCAGCAGACCCTCGGGGATGTGTCCGGCCACCTCGAGCTGGGCACAGCCACGCGGAGCTCAGCACCTTTTCCTCCCCACCCGCCCGACGCACAGTTCCAGAAAGAAACGTGGCAGTCTGCCCGCGTGCCTCCCCCCACCCACCCCCGTGCCCCGTCCGTCAGCGAGGCCCACCTGCTCTGGCACACCCTGCCTGCCTCTCCGTCCCCACCGTCCCCACCGTCCCCAGGCCAGGCTGCCATCTCCACCCCAGTCTGATCTCCCTGATGTGCAGTGGCCCGTGCTGTCCGTCTTCCTTGTAGCAGAGAAGGAGGGAGCCTCTTAGGGTGCCGCCTGACCTGCCCCCCGCCCCATTCTCTGACACTGTACCGCACTCCCGCGTCCCTCTGCTCAACACGGCGATCTTCGTTCAGTTTCCAAACAGTGCCTCTGCCACGCCGTCCGAGGATTCTCCCTCCTTGCCAGGATGGCCTCCTCCGCCTTCAGACAGCAGTCCCATCTCTGCAGAGAAGTTTTCCCAGCCACCCTCCCCAGACGTCAGTCGCCCCTCCGTCCCTCTGAACACCCGCAGCTTCCCATCCATGCAGTAATCGCAGTTGGTGTAAAGTATTTATTTACGTAGGAGACGGAGGTGTCTGTAAGCTCACGATGGCAGAGACCGCGTCTGTCTGGTCTCTCCCTCTTTCTAGAGCCCGACGAGTTAAGTGCTCAAAAAGCGTGGAATAAATGTGCGTTGCTAACTGATCCCAGTGTGGTGCCATCCTCCCCAACAGTAAGGTGTCGAGACTGTCCGTGGAGCCACCTCCCCCCAAAGATGTCCACGTCCCTGTGTCTGAAAACCTGTGAATACGTAACCTCATGTGGCAAAAAGAACTTTACAATTGTGATACGTCAGGGGTCTTGAGATGGGGAGGTGATCCAGTTATCCAGGGGGGCAGCGTGAAATCGCAGGGTTCCTGTAAGAGGGAGTTAGGGGGCCAGAGAGGAGAGAAGATGCCATGTGGCTGGCTCGGAAGATGCAGGAAGGGCTGTGAGCTGAGGTGGCCTCCAGAAGCCAAAAAAGGCAGGAAAACAGATTCTGCCCCGGAGCCTGCCGGAGGTGGACAGCCCTGCCGTCCCGTGCTAGACTTCTGGCCTCCAGAAGCAGAAGATAATAAATGTGTGTCGTTTCAAGCCCTTAACTTTGTGACGATTTGTTACAGCAGCGACAGGAAACTAATACATTAGTATCTCAGACCTGGTGGCTTAGTCAGAGCTGGGACGTGAAGATCAGCACCCAGGGGGTCCCCGACTTCCCAGTGGGGAGGGAGGGGAGCTCAAGAGAGGAAAGAGTCGGGTGCCGTGTGCCTGCCGCTGCCAGCCCTGACTCCTAGTAAGGCCCACATGAGTGTTCACATCACCCTATTCACAGCGGCAGGGCGGTAGCCCCATGTGATGGATGGTTTTGCGGAGGTGACGTTATCCGCCCGAGCTTGTATAGAGCATGGCAGAGCCAGGAGTGGAACTTGAATGTCATTCCGAATCTGTGCTCCTAATACCACCCCAGCCCCCCGTCTCTGTGGGAAGGCCAGCATTCGGAGATGCGAGCAGCTGCCCTGTGCCTCGAGCAGACACAGGCTCCCCCCAGAGGGGAGTCCAGGTTATTGGCCGAGTCGTCACCAAGTGAAGTGGTCCCTGGCTGTCCCCTGCCGCTGGGGTGGGTGCCCTTATCCCAATGGAGCCTTCTGTGCTTGTCTCCCTCAGCGTGAACGAGCTCTACGTCGATGACCCAGACAAGGACAGCGGGGGCAAAATCGACGTCAGCCTGAACATCAGTTTACCCAATTTGCACTGCGAATGTGAGTACCCCCAGCAGCCCTCTGCTCCCGCAGGGCGAACAGGGCAAACCACACACACCGGGGAGATGAGACTGTCCCCGCTGCTTTGACGGGGGGAATGTGACCTAATGCGCGCGCACCTGGTTGCTTTCTGGAATAAAAAGCACAAGAAACCGCCAACGGGGGTTACCTCTGGAGAGTGGCCATGTTGGGGTGGGGGGGTGTCTCTTAGGTCAGGTTCCCAAGAAGCAGAGTCTGAAGTCTCTGCAGGTGATTTATCGAGGGAGGACTGACCCTCAGGAGGAATCTGTAAGCGTGTGAGGGAGGGAAGGGGACACGCAGAGACCTGTGGCATGTGAACGACACCACGGTTTGTCCCACCTTGGTAGCAAGGGACTGTTACCCATATCCTTGATACCCTTGGCTGACCGCACAGGGCGATGCGTGTAGGTGAGGGGTGGGGGTCACACAGCCTCACAAGCAAGGAGACCTGCAACCAGACAAGAGTAGCCACCTGGGCAGGGATGCAGCTCTGAGCCGTCAGCAGCCATCGGAAAACTTCCTTTTTTTACTTCACACTCTTGTTTATTTGTTTGTTTATTTGTTTGTTTCTACCCAGAGAATGAATCACTTGTATAAAACAAACCTCACTGGAAGTCTGGTGTGGAGTCAAATTCTAGCTCCTTTGCTCACCAAAACCGTGTGTCAGTTTCCACCCACATCTGTAAAATGGGCCGAGGGCTCGCTATCGCGTAAGGTGTCGAGAGAACCTAATACGCTGGCTTCTAGGCTGGTTCGCCAGTGGGCTGGGTGTCTTTTCTCGGGCTGGGGATCCAGCTGTCCCTCTGCCCCAGCCGGGCACATAAGCTGATGCAGGAACTCCCCTCCGCCCACCCACTCCTTCCTACCGAAGGGTAGAACATCGGGTACATCTGCAGGCAGAGGTAGGGAGAGAGTCAGCCCCGTTACCGCCTTTGGCAAGAATGACGTCACGAGATTGAATCCACAGTGGGCCCCGAGCCAGGGAACCTATTGGAATAGATTGGTTTTATTTTTATTTTTCCTCTCTCTCTTAGAAAAATAACTCATCTGGTAGGGCTCCTCCTTCAGGAGTTGGTCATGTCTCTGGAACAAGGAAATTTTCAGGCCAGAGGCTGTGACCAGTGGGGCAGGGGAGGGAAAGGATGTGGTTATAGGCTCCGTCCCAGCTCCAGGCAGCCGCCCAAGAGAGGCCGGGCACCCCCGAGCCGCGGCTGCAGCCGGCCCACGGGGCCCTGCCACTCCGCAGGGCCGCCGCCCGGACCCAGGCCACTCCCACGAGAGCCCCATCTCGGCTTTTCTTTAAAGAACTTCAGGTTTTTGTGATGGAAAAAAAAAAAAAGTACATGCTCATCATTGTACCTTTGGAAAATCCGGAGCGGCAGGGAGAGAAGAGATTGCTCACCCCCACGACAGCGCTGGTGGACGCCCGAGGCCATTCTGCCCATCGCGGGCAGTCCCCTCTGCGCACTTCTAAACCCCGCTGAGGTCATGCGGCACGGCAGTCTCGTGGCCTGCTTTTAAAAATAATGCCCTTTGAAAGTACATGCTCATCATTGTACCTTTGGAAAATCCGGAGCGGCAGGGAGAGAAGAGATTGCTCACCCCCACGACAGCGCTGGTGGACGCCCGAGGCCATTCTGCCCATCGCGGGCAGTCCCCTCTGCGCACTTCTAAACCCCGCTGAGGTCATGCGGCACGGCAGTCTCGTGGCCTGCTTTTAAAAATAATGCCCTTTGTTGTTTGTTACCCAATTAATACCGGAATGTCTTTCTTATTTAAAAAGAGATAACGCGTTCAAAACACGAGAATAGATCTTTAAAAAAGTGAAAGCGACACACACGTTACCTGTGGTGCCATCCAGCCCAGAGGAAGCCTCTGCTGGCGGTCGGGGTTCCCTTCCCCCTTCCCTGAGTCTGTCTGTCTCACTGTCCGTCCATCGTCTGTCTGCAGACATATATCATGTTTGGGTTTTTCTTTTTACATAATCGGGACCCAACTATATGGGACCTTCCTGGGGTTTCTCGTTTGTTTGTCTGTTTGTTTGTTTGTTTGTTTTCCGGCTAATATCATGGAGCGGCTCTTATATTACTCATAAGGTTAGTGAAGCAATAACCTCAGCTGGCATTTACTCTGCTCCCAGACCAGGCCAGGCCCCGGCCTGGATGTTTTGGCCGCCTTCGTGCGTGAAGATGAGAGGCATTCCAGCAGAGTGGCTGCAGGGCGTGGGCCCTGGATGGAGACTCTGGGGTTCTGATCCAAGCTTCACTGTTTCTTAGCTGAGAGATATCGGGCCAACTACTCAGCCTCTCTAAGCTGCAGCGTCACCCTCACATAGGATGGTCTGGTAATACCGTCGTCTCCACAGACGTATTCAGATGCTGCATTCTTACAAAAAAAGACACTTAGGAGAATGTCTAGCACATAGTCAGTGCTGTTTTAATTTTTTTTTTTTTTTTTAATGCCTACGGCACCTGGTCTTCCTAGGTGGTCTCCCATCCAAGGACTAACCAGGCCCGGCCCTGCTCAGCTTCCGAGATCAGACGGGATCGGGCACATTCAGGGTGGCATGGCCGTACATTGTTTTCATTTTTTTTAACCTTCACTCACCTAGGATTGAGGAGGAAACTGAGGCCCAGAAAGGTGTGAGGTAGCTTGGTCGAGGTGCAGTCTCAGAGGCCACATCCTTAGCTGCCGCCGTGCCACGTGTGGACTGAGCCCATCCCTGTACCTGCTGCCCAGCGCCCCAGAGGGGGCTGGTCAAAGGGACAGGCAGTCGGGATGCTTCCCGTCGTCACAAGTTCAAACAAGGTTGCCCGGAGCAGCCCTGCACACGCGTCTGGTCGTGTGTGCCTCTGGGGGATGGACTTCCGGCGGGGAGCAGGCCCGCGGAGCCACGTGGGGGCTGCCTGCGTTCCTTTTACCTCGACTATGACGGCATCCGCCGTCCCCACGTAGTGCAGACCCGTGAGCCCGCGGCACCTTCAGCGGCTGCGTCAGGCTCCCTTTCGTGGGCGGCCGTCACTCACTTCGTGTCTCCATTGAGGAATCCGGGGGTCGTTTCCGTTTTTTTTTCCCTTTTCGGGTTGGCTCACTTCAAAGATTACCTCCAGCTGTTCTTTCTTTATATTGCAACCTCCCTCCTAGCGTTTCTTTCTTTCGGGGAAATTCCTGCGTTTCTATAGCTTATCGCCCCCCTACTCCCCGCCTCCTTGCCACTTGGACCGTCTCAAGGAAGGCAGTCGGCACGCCCCTGCCCGTTTTACAGGTTGGGAAGCTGAGTCACGGAAGTGGTCGAGTCCCACTGGAGTCGAGGACCAGGATGCCAGGCCCCAGATTTGCCATTTAGCGTCCTGAGGAACCCCGAAAAGTGCTCAGGCTTCCAGAGGGCAGGGCTCGGAGGACTGGGCAGTGGTAAAGGAAGGCGTGAATGAATGGGCGAGGGATGAATGAATGAATGAATGAATGAATGCCTGAGCCTGTTCACCCGTGAACCCAGAGGCTGTCTGAGATGCAGTAAGTGTCCACCTTTATTGAGCACTTGCCGATTCCTGTGCATCAGATCCTGAGCGAAGCATTTTCCACATGTATTAACTCTTTGATCCTCAAGATTTTCCAAGGAAGGTTGAATTATTCTCACCTCATTTTTCAGAGAAGGAAGCTGAGGCATCAGGAGGTTGAGGGCCTCAGCCACAGCTGGTTGCACAGCTGGTTGCACAGCTGGTAAAAGGCAGGGCCAGGATCCCAGCAGCCTTTTCACCCTGACCCTCTGCTGCCCGCCTGCAGCCTCACGTCAGGCAGAGTAGTCACCCCGGCACCCCACAGTCCTGCATCTCTGGCCCCACTGGCTGCCGCCTTCCCAGCTCTTTCCAGCTGCAGGGGGCTGGCTCCCTCTTACTCCAGGGCCACTTTCTCCTCCTCCTTGGCCAGCCGACTTCCTCTCTGTGGCTCCGGGACCCAGACCATGAGCTCCTGGAGGGGCCGCCCCGTCTGTGCCATGGAGGAGATGGAGGAGGGGGTCCCGAGAGGAGGGGGCTGCCCGTTGCTCTGGGTGTTGGTGACGCGTCTCTCCTTGCCTCCCGCAGTGGTTGGGCTCGACATCCAGGATGAGATGGGCAGGCACGAGGTGGGCCACATCGACAACTCCATGAAAATCCCCCTGAACGGCGGGGCGGGCTGCCGCTTCGAGGGGCAGTTCAGCATCAATAAGGTACAGAGCCTCCCCCGCCCCACCTCCGTCCTCCCGGAAAACGGCGGGAGATGGCAGAGCCGTGCACCCATTCGGCCGCCCCGCTTCCCGCTACCCCAGACAGAAGCGGCGCCCTCCAATTCATCTGTCTGCCCCAAGCCTAGGTTTTTACATCTTTAGCTTGAGGGTGGGATGATGATAGTCATATGATGATACCCCCACATCACGAAGTTCGCGTGGGAAAGAAATGAGCTATTACACATTCGTTCATTCATTCATTCCCACATGTTCGTCAAAGTCCTTCCCAGTCCCAGGGCGGGCGAGCGGCTCTGGGGCAATGCGCTGAATGAGGTGGGCGGGCTCGCAGCACTGCGGAGCGTCCGCTCCAGTGGAGAGAGGCCGACAGCGCACAAACCGAAAAGCATTCGAACCCTGGCCATCTGGCATCGGGGCTCCCCTTCTTTCCCCCCGTGTCCCCATGTTTCATCTTTCTGACACGTTGGTCACATGTGCCACGACCAGTGTGTCTGTCCACTCACTCGGGGCCACAGCTCAGGCCACCCTTGGAGGGATGGGGGTTTGTGCCTTTAAGGAGCTCTAAGTCAAGGGGTGCTCAGTTAAGAAAGCCCGCCGTGGCTACGGGTGAGGTCTGTAGCGGGCCCCCACCCTTTGACTTCCCAGCATCAGGCTTGCACTTGCCCCGCGGCGTCCTTATCTGTCCATCAGGAAGTCAGCCAGCAGCCAGAAGTCAGCGTTCACGTGTTTCGAGCTGTACCAGCAGCCCACAGCACCCCAGACTCCTCGCTTAATCACTCAGCCCCTCCGAAGGCGGGCAGGATGGGCTGGTGTTTGGGGCCTGGCTCCATCTATATGTTTTTTAAAATCCATCAGAGACACTGACGTAGGTTCCTAAGTCACAAGCTCTAAAAGCGTCGTCTTTCCTTTCTTCAGCTCAGTGTGTGCTGGCATGAGTCAGCCACCTGTGACGGATCCCAAGCGGAGGGGGAGTGGGTCACTGAGTCACAGCCTCGAGGGGCGGCAGCGGGTGGCAGATGTGCGGGAGCCAGCCTCCTCGGCTCCCTTAACTCTGGGAGCGTGAGGCCCAGGCCCCGAACCCGGCTCTGAACTCTGCCCACGGCCCCGTCCGCAGGAGGCCCCATGTCACCGCATAGAGAAACTCAAGGGCACACACCCGCGCTCTTGATTTCTCCCTTCCGGGGGCGGTGGCACTGGGGACTGTAGCCGTGACCTCACCATGTGAATTTTTTATAATACGGATGAATCCGGGTATTACTTTTATAAATAAAAATGAAGTTAAAAATATTTTTAAATGCAGTAGGCTTTTCCCCATGCCCTGCCCATGTACATACTGTTCTGTCTTCTGGGAGGGTCCTTCCCTCGTGGCTCCGATGACAAACATGGCCATCCTACGAAGCCAACCCAGTAACGACTGCCCTTGGCTTTGCAGTCACCACCTCATTTAACCCTCCCCATAACCCTTTTGCGGTTATCGTCCCCATTTTGCCGATGTCGGGAAACTGAGGCACCGAGTGGTGACTAACCGTGCCCCGGGAACCCCCGCTAGGAAGCAGGGCCAGACTGGAGCCTGTGTGTGGTAATCGGGGCCCTGAAGTGGGCGATGCTGTCCCTCCTGGGACATCTTGCC